GTTAAAACCCTCGGGAAAATGAGCTCCTACGAGGCGCGAATAGCCCCTGAAATGAAGAGATTCCCTCAAACTACCAAGACAGGACCCAGACGAGTATGCATCAGAGGCCCCTTCGGAGCCTTGGATTCAAACCCGACATGCAGCTATTAAGCCTGCTAACCTCTCTGGTTATAGAACTCTCGGCTGTTCACCTTCGGGGGCAGCAGAGACAGTGTGGAAATGCTTGTTTACAAACTGCCTCAGACTTTTCAACACACTTTGTGATATTAAACAATTAGTTTGCGATAAAGAGCTGTTTATAATCACACTCAGAGACCTGGCTAACAACAGATTTCGGTGACGTGGAAATCTCGATAGGTGGATACTTCGACTTCTAGGTGACTCAAAGCGAGGGAGGGTTTGTGGGTTAGCTTTCTACATACACCCCATCCCGATTGTCTCCTCTGACAAATTTTTGCGGTGCATTTACGATTCAAATCCCGCTGCGGTGATCCGATTCTCCCCTTCTCGGTGTCGTCTGTCGTTGCCCTCCACACCATTCCCTCATACGAGCCCCCGAGCAACTCTCCTCCAGCTACCATTTCACTCACGCTGGTGGGCGACTTCAACGCTCCAAAGGCATCCTAGATTGAGCTCCAGTGCACCGGATCAAGTGCACTTTTTGCAGCGGCGTTGAACCTAATCATTCGATAAAGCGCTTGGACTCAACATGTCATCGCACCCGCCGGATGCGCACAGGCTCACTGCCATCCCTCCTGGATATGATAATCACCAACGAAAGGCACTTTGTTGATTAGGTGATAATCAATGTTCTAGTGGGAGACAGTGACCACTGTGTGCTGATCTTTGTTTTTAATTGCTTTGGGCCACAAATCGCGAACCTCAAACTTGGATTCGGAAATTTTGCCTTGCAAACTTTCCAGGAATGCCCATGTTACTTGAACAAGGTAAACTGCTACCAGTTTAAGTGGAAGAATTATTTAGGATCATCCTCCAGAAAGTTCACGAGACTAACGCGGTGTTCGTCCTAAAAATCAGCACGCAATCGCATAAGCCGCATGCTGTCAAAAAGGATCCAGCGTCTTCTGGGAAAGAGGTTCCAACTTTTTTCAAAAAGTAGTCAGCAGGGGACAGAAGATGAGCTGGCGTCTCTTAAAATGGGGAATCGATGAGAATCAGTAATCCGCCAAAGGAATATGCTAAAACAAGCCACCGTTCTGTACCTCGAACCGGGAAACAAAAATGTGTTGTCCAAAAGCGTGACACCGCCGCAGAAAGAAACCATCCGCGTTCTCTTCGAGGGGACAAGAACGAGGATCCTACGACTGACCAAACAGTGGTATCTAAAGTCTACAGCGAACACTGTGCGGGTGTATATTAAGCCCCGGGGCCATCGTCACATCCAATCTCGTCAAAGGCGTAAGTTCGAATGACCTTAAACCAACATGGTCTTCACAGCGGAGGATATTCGTCAACTCTTGCACAAGATTGACACATTCCGCACGTTGGGGCCCGACGATGTCCTGGAATCCCAATGACAGTGCCTTCCAAATGGATGTAGACGCTGTAAACCAGTGGTCGTTGGACTGGCACCTTCCTCTGAATGACCAAAAGTGTCATATGCCATTTGGAGGAAACTCAGCGAATTCCTTTATCATGCGTGGTGAGGATGGACTAGAAGACATCCTGAACTTAGTCGCCAAAGAGGAGTTGGTTATCTGGCTCTCTTCAAACGTGTCCTTCTCACTGTAACATGAGGAATCGGATCAAAAGGCATTCGTCGTTCTACGACTGATCCTGCACACCTGCTCCCGTATTACTCGCACGGACTTCCGCATACTCCATCGGGTCTACGTCAGACTGCTCTTTCAATATGCCAAAAAAGTTGTCTGCTCAGGATGCATGAAACACATAACCCTCGCTGAGTGTGTCCAGCGAGCCGCTACGGAATTAGTTACCGGGCTCAAATCCGTGATTTGCGAAACTCAACTGGCGGTGCTTGACCTCCTTCCCTCGAGTATCGCCAACTACCAGGGGATCTGATTCTTACTTATTACCTGTTTGAACATAGCTTGGCCAACATATTTTCCACCGATGACCCAGCAAACACGGCAGAGACATGGTGAGAAGATTTTCAAGCTCAGAACGGACACTCTTATTAGGAAGCAGTTCTTTTAATTTCGGGTAGTATTTGGGTGAAATAATCTTCAACCGACGGTTATGTGCACACCCTCTACAGCCCAGTTCAAGGCACTGTTAGACAACTTTTCATGAGAGTCCTTCCGCTGGCAAGCATGCTGCCTCATGCTGAGAAATTAAATAGCAGTGCCCTTTTACCACTTGTGCCTTTCAGATGAACGATAGCCGCCGGACGACAAAAACCAAACCGACCCAGGAAACTTGGACATAAGCCTTGATTCTGTATACTGTGGCGTTCTGTACCTTTATTTCACTCCCATTATAACACTACTTATTTCATCAATTGCATAACTGTTTTTTGTTTGAATACCAAAAACTAAAAACGCGCACTTGTGTAATTTCACAGAGGACAAGCGTGGCCACTTGCTTCGAATCTCACTTCTGATTTCGCTCGCGCTTGCAGCGGTCATCCGCGAGTCTCATGTACTAACTCTGGTATCAAAATATTTCAGGCCATCTTCGGAATCTACTTTATGTGGGAACTGTTCGGAAGAAGACCTCTCGACCAACATAATGGGATTATTGTTTATTCGCTGGCCTGGGCTAACGACGAACTATTTTACAGAGAACAATTGTTAGTGAGTCTGTTCCATCTGACCGCTTTATTAGTGTATACCCAACCTACGTTGTTATTTTTATTTCTATGCCACACGCTTCTGGTAAACTAAGTTACTGGGTAGCCAGACCACTACAGTATCAATCCGTGAATCCATGAGAGCTTTGAGGGTCCTCTTTTGTTTACTTCTCTGCTTCCTATACGGTTCTCTGCCGTGTATATTAGTGCATGGTGAACGACAGCCACTGACCGACAAGAACAAAAGCGACCCGGGAAACTTGGGCAAAGGCCTCGATCCTGTGTATTAATCCGTGAATCCGTTCCTACCTTAGTGGATCTAATGCCCGGTTTTCAGGCAGTCACCAAATAAACCATAAAATATGCTCTTCTGACCGTCAGAATTTTTTCGTGGTATCCGAGCTGTTACACTTTTCGGGTATGTGAAAACTCGAAATATTCCGGCCTGTGGCGTTATGTTGCTTCTTAGTGAGCTTTCGCAAGGTCATTTGACATAGCCGCGTACTTTTGTGGGGCGCGATTCGTGCACAAAGAAACATTCTGATTTTTTAGGATTGCAGAAGCCAGGTATGCTGCGGTTGCATGCTTTGGTGTGGATTACGTGATTAGGACCAGCCAATCATTTGCTTCAGTTTGGCTTGTGCATGAATCGGCTTCCGTGAACCGTGAATCACTGCATGGTATGACTTCCAAGCCCAAGCCGGCATTCTACTTGTTCGCTTGAACACACGCGTTCAAATTGAATTCTCGCACAAGCCGAGTGAAGAACAAATGCAAGAGATCGCGTTTCTTTCGGGGAGGTGGCTCAATGGTTAGAGCGCCAATTTATTGACCGGAAGGTTCATGGTTCGAACCGGGCATCTGCCTCTCGAATTCCCCTATGTTTGGGCAGCATCCCAGCCATCGCGCCTCCTTCTGGTGGGAGGACAATCAGGGACCGAAAGGGTGTTACAGCTGAAGGATTGTTACCATTGTTATTAACTCTCAATCGCAGAGACTTTCGATGATGGGGCTAGATTGGGTGTACATTTGTTTGAACCTCTGGAGCGCAGCATGGTTCATTGTGGGGTGTAATTTGGGGAACAACAATTGGAGGGCTAATTTCTTTGTGTATTGTTTCAAAGTCCTCGTTATTTACAGCAACTTGGTATATGCTTCTTTTGACTTACGCCTTTGTCCATCTTGTTCATAAGTAACGGTACCAGACAAATCAAGGGTGATTATTTGGCGTACTAGTACCAGTAAGAAAGGCAGTAATTTTGTTCCATGGAGCCATCAAACTGCAATTTCCACTAGGCTGAACCTCGTTCGATAAATGGTACATCTCCGGACTTATGATCATACTTGAATGCCGATAAACTATGTCGGTGAACGTAACGTGCGCCTGTTCCCCGCCGGAATTCCTGCAGTTTGGGTTCGAATTCCACGAAAGACCGACACGACCGAGAGTACTATAGCATCTGCCTCGTTACATTGATTTCATCTTCCTATGTGCCTGGTATACATTCAAGATATTAAACGACAGCGAAGGCTTACCCGGTAACGTTCTGGAATACGATGTACCTGGTTTCGACAGTTGCCGTGGTTGATATACCACTAAACGCGTTCAGCATCGTGGTAACCCATGCAGCGCGGGATACGATGGAGGGAGAGATTATTGTAGCTGCTCACCGGCTTTTATAGGATCTTTCATGGCCTTGAAGTTCTCGTAGCCCGGTCCAGACTGCAGGTCACCAGCCCTGCAACTTCAGTGTCTAATCCCCCTAAATTAAGCAAAGGTTGATGGATGAAGCAAGCGAAAAAGTGATCCAAAATAATTTAGAGGATTTATTCCAGGAAATTTCACTGTACCTCACGTGGTGTATGTACATTTTGACGTTTCTTTAGTGCATAACTTAACATTGCACGTGTCCACGTACCTTAAAATGCTCTCCATCGATCTCCTTTACTCACCTCCTTATGATTACTTCCTTCAGTATAGGGTTAGCAGAAAGTCGACATTTTTTGATGCCTAGAAATAAGCCTCACCTCATATCCGAAAATGTTCGCGCTCGGATCTTCCAATTTCTTTTGTTTCAATTTGACTTTTGCGCTGTGGTTGACTGTCAAGAAACCTGATAGTATCTTGTAAAGAAGAGTACCTTAGCAATGGCACCATTTTTAAGAAATAACATCGATGTTGTTCCTGGCGCCATGTATCTTGGGTCCATGCTGAAAAACTTAGAAATCAGGCTGCTTGGTGGTTGATTCGAATCAACAACTCGGGTGCCCTGTTCTTCTCATCAGTGCTCATTTTCCCTCGAACCCTTTTCAGACTGTAAGTCTCCTCTCTTAGAATGGGAGCCGGGCCTGTACTCAAACTTTGAGTGCAGTCGCACTAAGAGAGAGTAGTAGTAGGAACATTTACGTTTTCTAGACTGCACAGTCCAAAGCAGTTGTTCGAACGCTACATGTAGTTTCTGCCGCTAGCATGCACTTACCGCGAGCCGTAAGGTGTAGCGATGACGTCCAAAATTGCCCGGACAGTGATTGATGAATGCAGCCATAAGTCTCCGTAGACCATTTTTGGTTCAGTCTATAGCCGCGTTAATTTTTCGGGATGTGCGCACTTCCACAATACTGGAAGCTGTGGAGCGCTTTACGTATCTTGGAGGTTGTATTAGTTCTGATTTTAGTGTGACAGATGAGGTGAATGCACGAATCTGCAAGGCTCGGGCCGCGTTTGCTAACTTGAGACACCTATGGCGTCAGAATGGTTTATCCCTGAATCTGAAGGGACGTGTGTATCAAGCTACAGTACGGGCTGTTTTGTTGTATGGCTGTGAGACTTGGCCTATTCGAGCAGCGGACCTGAGACGTCTTCAGGTGTTCGACAATCGTTGTCTCAGAACCATAGCTCGTGTGGGTTGGTGTCAGCGAATCCGTAACGAGGCAGTTAGAAAGCGTGTTTTCGGTTGTGTAATGGGTACTTCTATTGGAGAATGTGTCCAGCACCAGAAGCTGCATTAGTTGGGACATGTGTTGCGTATGCCGAACCATCGTTTGCCGAAGAGCGTGCTGTTTTCTATGCCCAATTCAGAGTGGCGTAAACAGAGAGGTGACCAACCCTTGACTTGGCGGAGGAGTATGAAGGAGATCACGAAACGCTTGGGTGCTGTCGGTGCTACTCGCCTTCCAGGATGGGACCGCATGATCCTCACTGTGCCTGGTTGGAGACACTACAAGATATGGCTGCCAACCGATGTCATTGGCGTTCTTGTTGTCAGTTTCTATCCAGATTGTCTGAGTGAATGTCTGGAGGTGTAGGCACCGGGGAATGATTATGGTAAGCTGGCACTAAGTCCTTTACCCATCCACCTTTACTCTTTTCTTTACAATAAGGCTCTCAAATAAGTCATGGTTGTACGGCAGTGATGCATCGGTGTTAAACACTGATGTCATGCTGTCGATGATGATGATGATGACAGTGAACAACGCGATTTCTCCTTGATCTCTGGAATTTTACCGTGAAATGTACTCACACATACCAGTCGCCAAAGCAGTTAGTGGCTGTGTTTACAAGAGTGGTAATTCGTTGGGTTAAAATGAAATTAATGCGGCGACTTTCACCAAGACTGCCGTTGGACCAGGATTTCCCTCGTGAGCGTCACATATTTATTCATTTATGTTATGGCAGTTAAACATCAGTATGGATTACTGGTGTATTGCTGTCAATGATGTTGACGATAGTGATGTTATCTCTTAGTAGCCGTGGTTTCGTAAATATGTGGGGGTATATTCTTCACTCTGAGTGTTTCGTCGATGTAACCATTTGCTCTGGATTTTGAGAGCATATCTGACACGCACTAGCGCATTTGACGGAGGCTTCTTGCGCTTTCCAGCACGTAAATACATTGACACTTAGTGTTATATTAAAGTACCGCATTTTTCAATGACTTCGGCGTTGGAGTTTTGCGCATCACGCAGAGGGAACTCCTTAATTACTAAGAATAGTGGGCAGTAATCCGACCTTCTTTTCCCGGCTCACAAGTGTGAGGAGCCAGGTCCAGTTGGTACCTATCACGATTTGCTGAAACCGCTTATACTGTTATGCATTGTCCACCTTAAATAATTACTCACTGTCCCCACATAAGACATAGTTCCCATAGACCGAAAGATAGGATCTATATTGGCAATTCATGAAAAGGGTAGTGAAGAGAACCTATCCGCCTACCGATCTGTTTGCCTCACATCAAGGGTTCCAAAACAGTTCCTAAGAATGGTAGTAGGCAAAGTTTCCGACACCTAACTGAGAATCAGTTGGTCTGTACCACCCAGGGCAGGTTCGTAGAACTGCATTCCTGGGCGATTTTAACGGATGAAATAACAAACAGGGGTGACAGTGGCAAAAACGTTGGATTCTGTTAACTTCATTTAGTAAGCCCTCGACACAGTGAATCAGTGGTTGCACCTGATTTTCATGAGATATTTCACTCACTGGGTAGTTGCTTAAATTATTTTCCAGTGGAACGCAGGTTTGTCATGATAGCAGAGGTGGCTTATTCAACAGCTGAACTGTTGACTAACGGGGTCCTATAGGGCTCGGTACTTTCAGTTCTGTTCTCCAGAACAAGACTTTCAAATAAGTTACGTTTTTACAGCAGTGAAGCATCCGTGTGAGGCATTAATGTTATGCTGTCGATGATGATTGATTGAAAAGTACTTGTCAACCAACGGAAACAGGATCTGCGTTATCTCCTACAACGGACAACAGACAGAAGCTACCACACAATGTGACGAATTGTCAAGTCTAGAGTAAGGACGGGGTGGCGCTCTTGGTATCATTCATCCATATCAGTGATCAATATTTCAACACCGAGAAAAGTTAGTTAGGTACGATATTTGACGACATATTTTGCCCCTGACTTCAAGTCCAGTGAACAATATGCAGGGACTGCCAAAAAGTTTCCTGGGCTGGGTGTTCGGTTGTAAAATTAAGACCCTTCTACTACTTTATGGGGCATTTTTTCGTCCAAAATTGATATGCGGTTCAGATATGGGTTTCATATTTTAAGAGGAATTTCCTTGCTAGGGTCCACGACGTTCCGTGAAGTTTCTTCTAAATCTGGAAGCCAAAAGCGACGAATCCAGGACTAGTGAACTCAACTTATTTTGGTGCAACACAGAACTCTTCCAGGCATTATTGTTAAGGTATTCAGGGTGATGGAGGGCTTATCCGACACGGGGGCGAAACTCCAGTCGAATGATATTTGGACACAAGACTAAATAACGACTTATCTAAAGTGGGAACTAGGAGAACTCACTTGTTATTGAGGCACAGTCATTTCGCCGACTAGTCACCGGAACAAGCATCCCGAGGGGATGATACATATCAGTAATGTTGCCACCTTTCATCAAAAATGTAAGGCATGAAAGTGTGCAGGGTCCCCCAAATCAGTGTGGGTGATCCGTTTGTTGAGCCATGATGAGCAAATCAAGTAGCTCAGAAGAAGGATGCTTTCACAACATGAGTGAAACCTCAATATGAGAAGTCGTCATTCGAGGAGCCAGTCAAAACGTGATGTCAATTCCGTGGTTTAAGGATGATTGGCGCTATATCCTGTCTGAGGGTGAGTTTATCACACCGCTCGTTAGCCGTTCTTGGTCGAATGACTCAGCACTGCTGATGACTCTCAACGAAGGGGAAAACCGTACAGTACTTCTTGGTTTTTCAAGACAGACTAACTTTACTCATAAGATGAAATCTCCGTCGAAAATTCCAAGATTTTCTCACACTGCCAACAACTTCCCGAACAACTTGTTCCGAGATTATTTTTTGCTTTATGGGTGTTTCGTGTTTCTTGACTTGTAATTGGGCCTTAGAATAAGTTATGTGAGATTACGTTATCTCTGATAATCAATTCAAAGCATTATTCGGCCTCGATGCTGTTTAGGAGTTCCTGAACCAGACGAACAGGTAAGAGGACAAAAGCAGTCGTACTTCCCAGTGGACAAAATTTGCTGGCAAATAAGCGTGTGAAAGCGGTCGTCCAAACTCGTCTGCACCACAATCCAAAGATAACCTGTAAGCTCAGGTCGGTAGCGTTTGCTTACTCTACCCTGTTGCTGTGTTTGGCAACCCTTAGAGAGGTGAATTTTCAAGGATGCAACATTTTACAGTAAGATTTGCGCATGTCTCTGAGGGCCGCTTATTCGAAATAGTGCAGAAAACACTTCTTGGGATTACGACTTGGCTCGTGCCAATTGGCGTCAACAATGTTGGTCACCGTAGATCAATTGTCAGTGGGCCCATTCAGATGCGACAGTTCTTGGCATCCTAATCGCTATCCTGGGTAGCTCCGGTAGTCACTCCCGGAAGATAGGCTTTCTTCCGGTTAAACGAGGTGATGCAGTGTTATGGACTAAGAAGAATAGGTCCACCGCTGTCCCTGTTATTGACCAAAAGTCCTTCAGAATTTTAGTTTCCCTGAGAACACTGCGGAAGGATCCTACCAGGTTATCGTGTTCAACAGAAATATGTGAGGGTCACGCCTCCGAGCCCATGGCATTCATGGAATCAAGAAATCGAGTAGTACCTCGGTTACCGCACCACCACTTCAGGAGATGTGTCGAAGTAAAACACTTTACAATTCCAATTATTCCTGTTCATTCCACTCGATTTACCATCAAACAAACCTAGATTTTCTCTTTTTCCTGACCTATAGAATGCCGCCAAAGCGTAAGGTCACGTCTGCAGTCAAGACTTCCGTGAAGCAAGCCAAAACTGACGATGATACTGATGAAAAGCTCACTCTGAAGAAAAAGCTCTCTGGTATTCATACTCACTCTTTTCATTAGTATTTATAAGCTTTGAAAAAAGTTGAGGATAAGAAGACCCACAAGGTCGATAAGAACTTTTGTGTGGCTGGAGTAAGTTCTAACTCTAACACAATGGTGCCCTGTTCTTCAGAATATTACTTGCAGGGTTCATGAGGATTATGATTGCACACTGAACCAAACAGATGTCAAGAATAACAATAATAAATTTTACATTATCCAGCTAATCGTTTTGGAAAGCAATCCAATCAGGTACGTCGTTTGGACGCGATGGGGTCGTGTGGTAAGTCCTCACAATTTTCGGCTCTTTCCTCGGGTATCATCGGTTTCAGGGTGAAACTGGACAGTCGGCAACGCTTGGTCCGTTCGATCAACTCGGACAGGCCATAACGTCGTTCGAGAAAAAATTTACGGACAAAACTGCCAACAAATGGGACGAGCGAATGAATTTTAAATTCCGTCCGGGAAAGTACTCCATTGTTGATGTGGTTGACGCTTCAGAACCAGACGATGTCCCCGTCATCCAACAGACCTCTGTGAATGATGAATTAAGTGGTGCTCATTATGTGAACCACACTTGTTTTTTCAGGATTGCCTTCCGTCCTTATTAGATGAAGCCACGCAAGGATTTGTTCGGCGGATATTCAGCGCCGAAACTTTTGAACATGCCATGCGTGCGCTGAATTTGGGTACGTCATCCACAAGCAGTCACAAGGTGTTGAACACTTGCACTCCGTCGCCACGTTGGCTTGGGTCGTTCTGTTGTCATATCTTTCAATCCTTGGATTAAACTGATAGCTCATCATTTGTATCTAGCAGAACCAGCAAACCTATGTGGCACTCCATCCAAATGGTAGCTAAGCAAGAATCGATGCATGGCTTTTCGACTGGTGTATATTCTGTGTTGTAGAATTTCTCGCTATCATAGTGTCCATACATGGCCTCAAGTTACGCGTTGTGTTCACGAAATCAGTAAGCAGGTGGAACAACATGGTGAACTTTCATTGGAACCACGTGAATACATAATGTTCTTGATCGTTCTGAGGAAACCATGCCGTGGGAAATAGGTCGTTGAAGAATAATCGGCTTTCCAATATCTCTATTTCAGTTGCAGGTCCATCAGTAGTCATCTAAGGATTCTTTCTACCTAATTTGGTAGTTATACAAATATTGTGTGATTGGGTACTCAGCCCAGTGTAGTTTACAATAAGCTTGACCATTTGACGGTCGTAGTATAATAACCAGCTGTTTTTGTTGATGATACCCCTGGATCTGTCGATAGAGTCTTCGCGATTTCTTTGTCAACCGGCTCCGTATTGCGATTGATCCTTCAGATCCGGTTCGCTACATATATAGCAGTCTATCTAGCACCGTCTGTAATGTAATCGGCTTTTCTCACGGCACCAGCAAAGCCAAATTAGGCTGGGTGACCGACTTTTTACCATCCATAACTTATGTTTTGAGTGCACGATCAGTTAATCCATCTTATGGGCCATTGTGGACTGTGTGAACTGAGAGTTTTAAACATTCACTCTGAATTTCAGATCCACACTTGTCACTTGAAATTCTGCGGTTTCGTTGCTTATGTACCATCGTATGCCAGTGAGTTATGCTAAAAGGTATCCGGGTAACATCCACGGAGTATCTCCTTCCGTTTGAGGCAACCGATATCAGTCAAAAACAGTCTTCCGGTCCTCTTAGTTTGGAGTTGGGACATGCATGGTGACTGTCACCTGAAGATTAAGCTCCTGACCAAAAGACGGGTAATTTGTCCGTAAATCACTATCCGCACACCCGTTTCTTGGCCCCAAACGGAAGTCCAGCAGACCCTTCTTGAACGAAACTACGACGAACGGGTATATGTGACCCCTCCATGCGAGCAGTCTTACTTCGGGACGATCCCGTTTGGGTTACTGCTATATGGAGATTGCGAATAGTGAACCTTGAGCAAACCTGATCTATATAAATGACGTCGCTTGGTTTATCTTAAGATTAGCACTCTACCTAGTCGACTTTAAAGAGAACTTGTAGATCAATTCCCTTATCTTGTCATGTTCTGTGCGCTTTTGCTGACCTACTGGACCCATTTCAATCCCCTCAAACTTCGGGACAAGGAAATTTTGTTTAAGATCAGGTCTACTTTGCAAGTCAAACGTAAACGTTTCATTATGTTCTCATACATTTTGCCTGGAACATAATTCCACCACACTCATTCAAACCTCACTGTGACGATGTTATATCGAGTGACAGAAATAGATCGATTTGGATCTTCCTGGCGGGCTAATTTATCTCTCACATAACTCACGAAAGTAGGACCGGGACTCCAGCTTTCGAGCTTTCAGTCTTCGCACTTTACCGTTTTGCAATGGCGGTTTTACTAAATGAAAGCCCGAGATGACTCAGTGGTTGAGGCGCCAACTCACTGACCGGAAGATCCGTGGTTCCAACCCGGTCTCTGTCTCTCGATTACCCCTATCTAGATTTGGGTTACATGGCAGTATTTCGGCCCTCATGCTTTTTTCGGGTGTCATGGCAGTTAGATACCAAAGTGGTCCATTTTACTGACTGAAAGCCGCAGTTGGAAATTCTGGAATGGAGACTAACCATGTTCTTGACCGGCGTCATTTCCGGGAACCTGCTCGGTTTTGAGGTTGCCCAAAATGACACCTCATCAGGTTGTGGAAAGTATTCCGTATTGCTCTCTCTTTAAATCAACTTATTCATAGGCCTGTCTGGTTCTAATTGCACCACGTGAATTGTATACGTTCGATATATTGTTCTCTCGATAGCACTAAGGATCTTTAAAGAGAACTTGTAGATCAGTTCCCTTATCTTCTCATGTTCTGTGCGCTTTTGCTGACCTACTGGACCCATTTCAATCCCCTCAAACTTCGGGACAAGGAAATTTTGTTTAAGATCAGGTCTACTTTGCAAGTCAAACGTAAACGTTTCATTATGTTCTCATACATTTTGCCTGGAACATAATTCCACCACACTCATTCAAACCTCACTGTGACGATGTTATATCGAGTGACAGAAATAGATCGATTTGGATCTTCCTGGCGGGCTAATTTATCTCTCACATAACTCACGAAAGTAGGACCGGGACTCCAGCTTTCGAGCTTTCAGTCTTCGCACTTTACCGTTTTGCAATGGCGGTTTTACTAAATGAAAGCTCGAGATGACTCAGTGGTTGAGGCTCCAACTCACTGACCGGAAGATCCGTGGTTCCAACCCGGTCTCTGCCTCTCGATTACCCCTATCTAGATTTGGGTTACATGGCAGTATTTCGGCCCTCATGCTTTTTTCGGGTGTCATGGCAGTTAGATACCAAAGTGGTCCATTTTACTGACTGAAAGCCGCAGTTGGAAATTCTGGAATGGAGACTAACCATGTTCTTGACCGGCGTCATTTCCGGGAACCTGCTCGGTTTTGAGGTTGCCCAAAATGACACCTCATCAGGTTGTGGAAAGTATTCCGTATTGCTCTCTCTTTAAATCAACTTATTCATAGGCCTGTCTGGTTCTAATCGCACCACGTGAATTGTATACGTTCGATATATTGTTCTCTCGATAGCACTAAGGATAATAACATTTCCGAAGCCGCTATATCGGAGACAGAGTTGAGTGAGATGAACGAAAATACTTTCATAGTCAGGTTTTCACCAAGCCTTACGTCCGACGATCTCGAATGATGCTATCTTGTTCCCTAGATTTAAAGAAAATGCCACTCGGGAAGCTCAGTGCAAAACAAATAGCCAATGCTTACGAAATTTTGGATGAATTGGAAGGCGTGATAGAGGGAAAAAAGAAAGGTGATGTTACTTTCTTGTCTTCGCGATTCTATACCATCATGCCGCACGATTTTGGCCGTACGCGTCCTCCACTGATCGATACTAAGGAACAACTGGCGTCCAAGTTTGATATGCTGAACACTTTGTCAGATGTTGCGTTGGCACAGGCCATGCAGAAGGAGGGAGTTAAGGGAAACCAAGTAAGTTGACTGCTTTGTTTTGATTATGCACCCTCACTTATGCAACAGTCTGGTGCGGGTGAACCGTTGCGTGCAGCATTGATCGTGTGCACTTAAATCGGTACAGTGCTCTGTCTTCAATGGGGCAACTTCGGACGATGCTGAAACGCATCCTCGACGAAGTGTTCCTTTGTTACAGTGGTGACCAATAAGTACCTACTCACCAGAATAATAGCATTTCTTGTGTATCCAGGTTTATTAGGCAGTTCTTGAGAGTGTGTGATGGAATGTTGTGGTTTATCTGAACTGGATGTATTGCCGTAGCTGAAATAGACCTGCACAAATTATTAAAGCTGTGTAATCAGATTTAATTGCCGTAATACTTAACTTCTGTGTGTCCTGCCTGGACTTCCGCAGTAATATGGTGTTTGGTTTAAATAGCTGACTCGTTTTCGAGGCTCAGAGTCCATCAATTTGATCCGGCAACATGCGCTGAACTGGATAACTAAAAGAACGGACGGGTACAGAATAGAGAATAAACTGGAAAGTGGCCCCTTCCAGATGGCCTACCGGTTTGTGGAAAAGTACCACTTTGTGTGAAGGTCGTAGAGTTGAAGCTGTGATGTAAGCTCCTGAGATGTTAGATATAACTTTATGTACGAAAACATGAGAGACCATTGTCAGCTAGTTCATTTCCCAAAACATTGGGTGTACTTCATTATCTCACTTTGTGGGTACGCTCATACTTAACCCAAAACTTGGCTTAATTGTTTTACTGGTAATTGGTGCAATAGGCCACTCTGTTTAATATGAGAAGTTGCATCTGTTCGCGGCCTTTTCATTCAGTGTGGTTATGATCGTTCTTTATGTGCTATGCGTGGAAGTGCTTCAGGGAAGCGATCGTTCAAAGTTTACTCAAGTGTCTGTTGTGAATTTCTTTCAGTCTTACCCAGATTTGCTATTCCTTAACAGTGGTACCCTTTAACCTGTTTGCCCTCGTAGACAATTATGCTTACTCAACCTCGAATATCGCTGTATATCTCCTATGGATTTTCGTGTACGTCCCTGCCCGTTAGATGAAATGCGGTCACTCGAGGCCCATTTCGGGGTCCGAGTGATTCTGAGGCAAACAGTGATTTTTGTCAGATTCAAATTCAGCGACTGAAGAACCAAACTTGTCCGTATGTGCGTCATATTGCCAAATAGTTGTCGGGCTTGTTGTTGCCAGTGACTAGCGATGATTTTAACAGCCCCATCAGACAGGCATATTTGGTTTGCAAGGTTGGAGAGCCGATTGTTTTCACTCTGTTGGTTAGAACGTGAAGTTGTCGGTGCTCAGTGCAATCTTTCGGTCACCCTCTAAGAGCGTTATTTGTATATTGTGACGAATGGCTCATGCGTGCCTGCAGATTTAAGGTTGGTGTAGCCACCTCGCGGTTGCTCTTCCTACTTCGTGTGTTTAGGTGTTAACCTCTGAATACTTTGGTTGCACTGGATAAGTCTCAACTGACTTAAGTCGGTGATCGGTATCTCCCTGGTGGCTTTCGCTCGCACCGGTCGTGTGTCTCGTTTTTTATGACTCTGAGACAGGATCGTAGGTACTCCGCTGTTCTCTGGGACACGACTAACTCTCTGATCCGCATAGTTTCTAGAATTAACAAACTCTGAGACAAACTAGCACTGGAAAACCGTGGACGGTCTCACGGTGCAACGTTCATCTTTTTTTAGAAAAGCAGCCTGGCAAACCATTCATATGGTTTGTGTTGGAGGTACCAAGCTCTGTCATCCTGAAGAAGGGGATATATCCTGTAGATTCCCAACACCACACTTTCTAAAGCAGTATCTCTGTGCTCCTTAAACCACTAGAAGCCGACATACCCAGTAGAGTATACAACTACTTCGGAAAACCCATGTCTTAGTCATTTATAAGACGTAGAAGATATTTAAATGAACCCTTCACATACTCCGGATTAGTTTTTCAAGGCTTGCGTTGATGAGCATCTTGTGTGCCGGAATACTGGTTCTTATTTCTGTCTCCCTCCTCTTGAGTTTGAGTGGAGCCTTCGAGACCGTATTACTAGAGATTATGCGGGAAGACAGTAGGTTTGTCGGCTTGGTACGCATCATAATAATACGCACCACCAACCGCGACGACAGTAACCGAACTCCTTTATTCACTCGCGTGTTTGGTAAAAAAAATACTTCCTTCAAAACACAACATCTGGGTAGTAGCTTGGACGAGAGCTCACTGACGCGCACTGCAGTTCCGTTCAATTTTTCACAATCCACTCAGTACCTTCCTGGAAGTTCCCTTGAGCAGGCTGTACATCGTTGATGTTCTAAAGCCTGACACAGCTTGTTTTTGTAGCCGTTTCTCGATCATAATACTCCGGAATGCGTTGCAACCTATTAATTCGCGTTATCATCGTAGGTGTCAACACATTGTTGTTGAATAAAACCAAACCTCTCTGAAACGATTACCAACCAATCGGTCCCAAACATATTCAAACATCTAGGTGTTGCTCTTCAACAGTCTTCTGCGGAAACCGTTATTCTGGTTACTCCACGCAAACGGGAGTTGGGTGCGAGACTCGAGTTTCCCTCTTTCAGTGCATCTCCTTGGTCATCCGGGCCTTGGACTTCGGAGATGTGACTTGAAGGCTTAGTGTGTTATGATTATTTCATCAGTGCTCACTATGAATCGTCACATTTCAAAAGCCGAGAATGTTCGTGCTTGGGAGATGCGACTGGTCTCGATCAACGACCCAGATGTTTTGTCAACAGATGAAAAACAATGGGTCAACGAACTGCATCTCTGTGTTGAGCTGTTTTTCCATAAGTCCAAATACGTCGCAAATCACGCACGCACATGTCATGCGGTAGATCCAACCGCCACAATTCTGTCCGCTTATGAATACTTCAGCCCTAGGATGGAAGCGCCTATTGGACTTTAGTTTGAGGTCATTAGGGTTGGCCTGGAATACTATCTACTCATGAAGAAAGCTCTTGAATCATGCGGTTGGACATACGGATCACTTCCTTTACATACACGTGTTCCAGATAACTTAGTGCTTACAGCGCGACACTCCTGGCCAGGAGACCGTGATTGGTTGAGCCCCAACTCCGGCTTTTCGAATAGTGTCTAGGCTTTGGCAAGCTGTCACTATTTCTTCCATCATGTATGGCTGTATGGCATCCGTCCTGTGGAAGGATGACACAGTCTAATGAAGTGACTTAGCTTGTTACTCTCCAACCCTGCCTATCCTGGCGTCAAAACGACATCTCAATGGTACCGTGTCCCTCTCCGGTTGTGTTTTGCTCCCTTTTCTCAAAGGGAGGTGTTTGGTGCATTCGTGCCGTTCCAACCCTTAGTGGCTAAAAAGCGACACCACTGGCTAGTTCGATCAAATTCGATGCGAAATCAACACATCTGACGAGTCTTGCTGATAATTTTGTGCGGATTGATGCCCCACTGGTGGGCTGGTTTTTGCTATCCAATGTGAAACACCTTGTTTAGTACATTAGCTCCTGGTTGAACTATTTTGGGAAACGGTGACCGATTTCTGAAGTTTTGTGCTTTTCGCGAATTTTCAGAAAAAGAAACATTGGATAGACGAGAAATACTCCCTTCTGGATTGTGATCTTGACTATTTGAATGCGTCGGATGTGAACAGACGTCTCGTCGAGGAATACTTCACAGAAACTGGACGGGACTGGTTCGAAATTGTGCACGTTTGGCGTGTCAACCGCCAGAGAGAGGTAATACAGCCTCTGTCGTTTTCGATGTCTTTTTTCACTTTTTAAAATGGCGCTTCTACACCCAACCTTGACATTTTCCGTACTCATGGCCGTGTTTTTACCTTTCTTCTAGGGTGACAGATTTCGACCATATCTGAAAACAGGGAATCACAAATTACTGTGGCACGGGACAAACGTGGCGGTCGTTGCGGCTATTTTGAAATCCGGACTTCGTATCATGCCTCATTCCGGAGGTCTGGTCGGGAAGGGAATCTACTTTGCATCTGCGGCTGACAAGTCACAAGATTACGGTGAGTTGTCTTGGTTGGTTTACTTGACCTCACTGGTATGCTCAACATGTACGGCTTTCTCCTTAATTTCGACTGGTCGCTTTCCTCCAATCTCGTCAGTTCGGTACTAGTGGCAGAGAGAGAGCTGGCGCTTGTAGGATGCGAGCTGTTGAAATGGAAGACAAAACAAACCGAATCTGCAGCAAATGCGGTTTGGTTTGTGCTTGTTGGCCATAAGCAGACAAGCTGACCTATTAGAGACTCGTCAACGATTAAAGTTTGCCAGATCAACCCTAGGTCCCTGGGGTCATCAAGTAATTAGACCTGCTTCGGAACTAGAAATGATTTCCGTGACCATCGTCGTGGAGACAAAGTCAAATCGTGGTTTCCTAAGAAACGCCAAGCAGGTTTGATGTTTATCAGTAATGCAAACCTTCAGTTTATTCCTAAATGGACACCACTGGGTTCGATAACCAGGTTGTTTCTATATCCGTCTGCAAAAAAACCGCTTTCCTGTTCCAATTATTCCGGAGCGTTAACCCTACACTGGTGCTAGGAGTGGCCCGTGACTAGCGCTGTGTAAATCGAACCGACTGTTGGGTAACTTTTGCAACTGCCATGCCAGCCGAAGGAAGCACGAGGGCTGAGATACTGCCAGGTTGCCCAAGCCTAGACAGGGGAAGTCGAGAGGCGGAGGTCGGATTCGAACCACGGACCTTCCGGTCAGTAAAATCGCGCTCTAACCAATTGGGCCAGCTCTCCCCCAGAGTACCCTTCACATAGACTGAGTCTCGACTGTCTAGTTGTCTGCACCGGGTTTGGCGATTTCACTTCACTGGTCAGGAAGCTGATGAGCACATTAGCCCTGGATGCTGTACCATCTCAAGCTCTTGGTTTCAGTTATTGGACTGCCTCGTCGTTTTCTGTGCATGCTTCGTTTAGTGTTTTTTTATATATATGATTTTATTTTGCCACGCATTAATTGCATTGAATTTTATCCATTTCATGTGTAAATCTGCTAATGTTCACCTGCTACACTCTGAACATTTCGGAATGTTCAGCCGGTAGCTGTTCTATATAGGTGATTTTCTGTGAGCACACTCTTTATTGACCAGGAGCCGTATACCATTTTTCGGCCACGTTTCTTCCCTGTTTTCCTTCGTTTATCTCGCATGTGTTTTACTGCATTGCGTTGAATTTCTCACCGAATGGCATCGCATTGTATGTGTATTCCGTGCATATACCTGCAAGTGACCCCCTAACCCTGGACGTTCGAGGGTGCAGACCTTAATCTGTGATTATTGTTTACTCTTCAGGTTGAGTAAAGGCTAACACACTGGCTAGTTATGTGCGCATCTTGGTTGGATGTTATGTGTGGCCCTGACTACCAGGCCCCCTTTCACTGTGCGTTTCAAATATTCAGTTATCCCTATTGGCTTGCAGTTTTGTCCCATCACTTGGGTGTGCCAATGACTTTAGAGCTTTCTGATATATCCACCCTCTGGTCTTATTCCATCGAGTTTACGCCAATTACACATGCGACTCAACACATCTCGCATGTGATGTTTGTGTCTTTGGGATCTGTTAGCCTAGTGACAATCAGATCCGAAACGGATGATGATGTGTGCTTGTGTATGTGCACACTTTTGGTCAAGCTCATGTAAGAATGGGGGTGTTGTTGCTCCGTCCAGTCCAAGAGACCTGGCGTCCAACTACTCTCCTCACCACAACAATCACATCAAATCATATCACCACGTGTGCCCCTATTGAATGGCTTTCTTCCACACACATCATATCTATTCTCTGTTCGAGATCCTAAAGTCATAAAGAGAGTTCGGATCTCAATTTTACGTGTACTTAGGCTGAATACAAAATAATCCACGACACTATTGAAGACGGAAAATACTTTATTATGACTGTCGCGAAGAAAGGCAGCTATGGAATGAGGGTTTGTTTTCGTTCGACCGGCGGTTTCTCACACTACTCGTTCTGGAATAGTCGTCCAGCTGTGGCATAGCTACCGTGCGGCCCAAAAGAAGCTCGAAGTTTGAGGTACTGCCAAGTTACTCAAGCCTTGACAGAAGCAATAGAGAAGTCAGAGTTCGGTCCGAACCACCGGCTTTCCGATGAGCAGCTTTACACCTTTACCGTTGAGCTATTTCTAGCTGAGTGTTGAACTTTAGATGAATTAACAAGCAGTATTCGAGACACTGAAGTATCTATGGAATCAGGGATAAACTCAATAAAACACGGTTAAACCTTCATATTCCGCTTGCAACCTGATTGTTGGCTACATTGCGGACCTTTTCAGTTTTGTTCAGGAAGGCTTATTGCGGCCCCTTCCTGAGCACATGACTCAACCCACGGACCGATTTTGACCGATGACGCCTTCCTTCTGTGCTTGCAGAAGAAGCGACGCCTTGCCTCCAATTTTCTCACATACCGCTCTCACCAAACAACTAAAATATATAGTAATTAGTGACTTTCAGACGCCCGATCCATGAATTTCCTCAGTCCAGTCATCTTCCACAGCCGTACCGACAGAATAGATATGTTCCAGACTCAGCCTTTAAGCCGAATGTTGGTGTTTCGAAGCCACTTCACGTGGTGAAGGTTTCGGAACACTTCCCGGCTTTTATGACTCGACCAGCCACAATGCTTCCCCATCCATTGCAAGTGATGACTATAGTGGATAGCATGGCTGCGGATTTTGACCAACCCTGGACGAGTATTCTGCATCTCGATGGTGGGACTCTAAATGGGGTCAGTTGGTAAGCAGTTGAATGTAAATTACTCTACCTATATAGGTTGTTTCTTCCCATCAGTATAACCAAGGCTTGAGATCTTACTTCCAGTTGGAAGACATAAGACAAGACTGCCTCTACTGCGGCTTCCGTAAAAAAATGAACAGAAACGTGTCACGGGACACCTCCATTGGACCGCATTAGTGATAGGAAAGGGTTGATTTCTTCTTGGAGAAGGATCTTACTCTACCCGATTTTGTTCTGAGTGTGTTTACGAGTTTCTGGCCAAGGCCTTGTCTGCTGTGAAAGTCATCCTACCCGTCGTTTGCTTGTGCGTTACAGAAAGTTGCTGAATGGAATCAGTTACTGACATCTTCGACACAAGTACAATGATGTTGATCCCATTTTGGTTTGAAACACCTTTGTATATTGGTACAGAGATGGGCCTTAACGATCTAATCGTCTACAGTGTCTAATGAAATTCCCTTTCCCGTTCTCCGGTGTCCGAAACTGTAGCAACTGGTATCAACGTACCTCTGATGCGTGGGTTACAGCTGGTAGACTGAACTGAACGGTATAGTGTAAAGTGGTTGTAATACTTGTTTAGCCATAGCACGCTGCCTAGCTGCCGTGACACCCAAAGGAAGCACGTGGGCTATACTACACTCAGGTTGCCCAAGCCTAGATAGGAGCAGCCAAGACGCTGCGGTTGGACCTGAACCATAACTTTCGGTCAGTAAGTTTACACCCTAATCACTGAGTCATCTCGAGCTCAAATGATAGAATGTAGAATCCCCCAGAAAGAGACCAAAAATCCTCTTCCCCCGTAGTTTCCTATGTTACAGGTGATCCCTTGAGATAATATTTGCTTCGGCCAGTTCGCTGTACTTAATTCCAGAGTCTGTTACTGTGTGACCTGTCTTTTCCTCCTTCCCTCGTTCAGGATGGGCCGACAGTGATGGCTATCGCATTATGTTCTTAGCTGAAGTCGCCTTGGGCAAGGAACATCCTATATTTCATTCGGACAGCTCTATTCGGAAAGCACCTGATGGATTCGACAGTGTTGTTGCTCAGGGAAAATTTGAACCGGGTAAGACTTCAGCTTATATTTGCCTTCACTGTCTTTCTGAATGCAGTATGCTCATTTCGATTCACAAGCTGAGCAGTCATCTCACTCTCCGTGCATAAGCTTCAGCACCACAGCCACTAGGAAGACACCCTAACTGTCTGAACACAAGCGAACGAAATGCATTTATCCCTCGAAGAGTAAGCCGCTACGGAAAAGGGACAAGTCCCGGAGTTTGTCTCTTTTTGGCCTCCTCCTATGACTAATAGTGAATTGAATTGAATTTCTGCGATCTGAAGTTCTGCTTCGCAGAAAACTTCTCTCCAGTTATGTCATGAGCTAATTAGCCTACTGACACGAATTACAGTATTTTTGCCACTCATGTTTTTTCAAGGTACCATTGTCGGAAGCTCGTTTGACAAGCGGTGCTTAGTCATACGAAATACATAAAGCTTCGACGAAAACCCACGAACCATCCCAAGATTCGCCCTCGAAAATAGTTTTTGTGCAATTATCGGCTTCCACTTTGGTCCTGGATAGTTCCACGCTCTTGTCAAAGGTGTATTCATTCACCAAGGAACAGCAGCCTAAGTGGATTTAGACCATATCGTGGCAGACAGGAGCTGCACATGAGACGCACCCTGACGCAACGAACTAGTAACTTCCTTTGGTTCAGTGTCCACTGGAAAATTATCGGTGCCGCGTAAGCAATTCATTCACAGTTGCTGATGCTCGCACTGATGGGCCAGATAAGTAGATTTAAAAAAGGTAGTCCAGTCTCATTGTATCCACACAGTTCCCACACTGAAAGTCATTATCCCGACTTAGTGGCCTGAGTGTCTTAACAATCCGGCGCGGTTACATTGTTTGAAAATTCGTTTTACAAGGTTCAACCTTTCTAGAACAGCTACAGAGGAGAAGCCAGATGGACGACAACAGTCTCCGATACTACGACGGATTGTATTGCGAATTGGTCTGTCGTCTACAATAGGAGTGTGAATGCAGCAAGGTGTTTCCTACACACGACTGGCACTTTTATGGACTTGGCGATGCTGACTTCATCAGAGGAAGGGCGGATTAGAAAAGGTTGTCCTATAACTCTTTGGCCACCCAGTAGCCAACCGGGACCGCTGGCAAATCACCTAATGCGGTAGCGATCGATTGAAAACCATCAGCAACCCGGCCTCCAGTACAATGCGAAGGCGAGCTCAAAGCTTATCGAGTAATGTCAATTTCTCCCTCTCGTTGAATTTTAGGCAACGATTCGGCTAGATCCCCACCCACAGTATGCACGACACCGTCCACGTGTATTTTCTTCCTAACCATAGACTTATGTGGTAGATTTTGGGTGTTTTCAGACCAAACGTGACTGTCCAACTTCATTTGCTGTTGTCGAAATGCCTACGTTTGACGGTAAACACTTTAGTTTACGGATATACACTTTCGTAGTCAGCATCGGTCTATCGGTTAGACTTGTTTATGAGGTTTGTTTACCAATGGTCGGCATGCATGGTGTTACATGAGTGCACAAACCACTTTCGTCGAACGGAGAGCTGAGGTCCGTTAAGACTTCGAACTGTAGGCAGTTGTTGACTGTCAATCTGTTCACCAAGCTTGGCAATTCACCATTCAAGGAGACATCATTAGTTCGCTGTTGGGTAGGCGTGAACGCTATTCTGAATTAGGAAAATGTGTTGCTCTCGCTTAATACGCTTCCTACTTCGTACGTAGAGAAGTCAGCGTAATTTTCTAGATTTCTGGACAGACTGCATAGTTTGCAACTTCAAGATCGCATCCTTTTCAGAGAAACACTTAACTGATGTCATTGACCAGAGCCCATTCACCGCAGTGTGCTTACTTTCCTGTGCAGTGATTCCAGTATTCCCTAGATTAGGGTCAAATCCCCCTTAGAGAACAAACTTTTGGGATATCTAAGGAGGTGGTTTGAGGACTCTCCATGGATGTAAATCCCATAGGAATTTGGTGGGAACTGCTTCCTGTTGTGTGCTGTGCCTCTGGATGCGTCTTTCTTCAGTGGAAGATCGTGGAATACCATAGATGCTTGGTTGCGATCGCTTTCAAGCTTGAGTATGTTTGAGTGGAGCTAGTTAAGCTAGAACGTTTTTTCCTGTTCGTTACAATGAAACACTTCCCTTTCGACCGTGTTGCCAATACTCCTATTACGATCGAGATATCCAGATTTACCGCATACCATTCTGAAATCAGATTCAGATTAGTTGGTTGATTGAATTTGCGGATTAATTCAACGATTAATTCGCTCGACTTTTAACCCCGATCGATGTTTGTGTGTCAGCTTGTGTCAACAGCACCAGTGTGTGTACACGGGTGCGAGGTGTTGTAGTACGTCCCTATGCTCATTTTTCATCCATGCTTCTTGTTTTTGCACGTGTCATTTCGTATTAGCCTAGTTATCTGCCCAACTGGACGCTTGCATCCGTCGCCTTTTCGATCAATCGCGTCACTGTCAGTCCCACACCTGATTAGTCTGCGATCTTTCGTTGAAAGCAACCGTCACGTGGATAAGGGACACATTCACAGGTAGAAGTTTTATCCAGTACGGCAGCGAAGCATTTATGATGTTCTGTCCAGGATGCTGATGATGATTTGCCGGAAAATTCCACGGTCTGGGTTTTTCAAGTTCGGACTTCGGAGATCCTTGTACAGTACCTTAATCAGGTTAACTGTCCCATAACCCAAGCTGTAGTGTACAGGCTTGTTGAACATCGTTCACAAATAAACCTTGACTACGTCGTGCTTACCAGCATTAACAGCCTGAAGAGAGCACCTCCCATTGCTTTAGGGCAAAAGCTTGCACCTAGATAAAATGATTGCCCGTGATTTTCGTTCTTTTCCCACAACCTTTGGTTTCTCATTCCCTTTTCCTACCCATTTTAGACCCGAAATTCGGAAAAGTACTACAACTGGACGGTGTCCCAGTAAACGTTTTGTGTTCCAAACCGGTACAACGTGATATCGACAGCTGGTTTTACTATAGCGAATATCTCATCTACAACGAGTCCCAGTGCCGTTTACGATTTGTCATTCTGTATCGTCCGAAAAAGTAAACGGACCACTAACGGAATGCTACTTTTATGGTTTATTTCTATGAATTTTCCAGCTACATGCGCCTTTGTAGCCAGCCGCATCTTTCTTACGTTACTTTACACAGCTACATTATAATCATAGTGTTTTTATCTTGCTATTTTCCACTAATTGTTTTCATTTTCTGTTTGACGCCTTTTTGGATAATATAACTTTTGTCGTTCTTGCATCCCGTCTATCCGCCCTTCGAACGTTCCGGTCCTTTCGTTACTCATCTGTTTCATCTACTTGGCATTGTTTTCGGAAGATCTCACTCCAACGACGTACTTGCTGGACGCAGTCCTGCATTCTCGTTGTCAGTGTTATCTCTAGCAGTTCTGCTAGCGTCAAAACGTATTCCCGATTCGTGTCCCGTCACTGAGCCGCCTAAATCTCGTCTTGACCCCGTGCTTATCTTACCAAATGACAGGAGTTGGTTACAAAATTCTTTAGGATTTGTAGAATGTCGATCCACATCGCTACCGTTTGAACATATCTCCAGTCCTGGTTAGTGCACAGCAAAGAGTGGAGGTACCGGACTCGAATTTCGTTCTTAACAGTGCGTTTGCTTTGCTACACCGGGCTTTGAACTCGAACATCAGTGCTTGCCGGACGCATGTGAATCAGCACGTCTAAATGTGCGAACATGTCAATTCAGATACAGAGGATAGGGATGGCTTTAGATTGGTATACTACCAGTTGACAACAATGTGAGAACAAATGTGAAGACCAGTGAGCACAAGGCGGAGGATAGACTAAACCCAGAGGCAAAATGGACCAATCTCTCTGCTTTTTACCCACAGCTCCTGTGATTTTAACCTTAAAATATTGATATTTGTCGAAGACACGTTTACGGAAGAAACCATATAAATGTTACCATGACCTCATATTGATTCGTGATTGACCGAAGATAGATGTTCATCAAATAGGGATCACAACCATTCACTTTTGAGTTGAGTGGAGTATTCCGAAAAATGTCTTGAAAACTGCCGGTCTCTCTCTGTATATATCCATAATATATCGCTGATAGTTCTTGAAATACATTTAACAGTATCATATGGCTTTAGAGACTACAGAAGTTACGCGTTTCATCGCTATCTGGCACTTCAGTCCCAGTTCGACCATATCCTGTTTGATCCACATGGTTGAAGAACATTTTAAGGCCAACTTAGTTGGTTGTTTTAGTGAGTCAAAGTGGTCGGTGTTTGTCTTCCGTTGACGGATTTCTTCTTTCCACTGAACTCTTTAAAGAGTTCGTCGTACTTACGTTAAGCTCTAAACCCAAGTAGTAGCTCAGTAATCTAAGTTTTGGTGTGACGGTGTTTTTCTATATGGCCTGCTGTGCATGGAGGAAGCATAAACATACACGTAATCCTCTGTTCACGGTCTACTTACAATACTCCCCTTCGTCGCCGTACTTTTATTTGACTGCCCAACTCATTCCGTTCTTTGAGCAGGGAAAAATCGGATCGCTGAAAACTTGATAGCTTGGATGAACCTGTGTTTCGGTTTGGAAGTCAGACAGCGTGCACTCCGAGATAGTTCACCCTATCCAGCTCGTTTTTAGCCGGCGCACCCTAATTTATCTTAGGTTTGGTGTATTCCAGCGCTTACGGGTAGCATATCAGTGAGCTTTGTATGTAACCTCAAAATCGTGCCCCGCTACTCCCAGGACTCTTGGTGACCCGTACCTATATGGGAGCGTAGATGGAAGAAACAGCTTGCGTGACAATTCTATCATTTTGATATCTACTCGATATGCAGTTGAGTGGCTGCAATCCTTGAAATGGGAACAGCTGTTTGAGCTCAACCATTGGTTCACCACCATCCAAAAATCAAGATCGATACAGTGGAAATTTCTAATCAGGGACAGCTCCTCGAGGACGTCCCCGCTTTTAAAGACACTTCTTGATTCCTCGCGGACTTGTCAACTTTTAGGAGGAATTAAGAACATTACAATGAACGTCACCAATGACTTCAGCAACATCCTTGTAAGGCAGAAAAAGTTGTATCAGTATGCATTTTGTTGCTAAGTAGATGGTTCTTTAACTAAAGAAAACATCTCATTTACTCTATCCATTGAAAAATAAGCTCAGGTGGCTTAAACACTGGCCCGAACATAACCACTGAGAAATTCAGTCTGGGTGTCCATTCTCACACACTGTCAACTCCATCAGGACTGGGGGTTAGTTTGTTGAGCAGTTTGCCTAATTTCATAAGGTTACATGTATTTTGATGAATGCCTTTAAGCTGATTGACTTTTTTGTTGTTCTCGGTAGCCATATCAAGGCTTTTCTCCTTTACCCTTCGTCAGCTACTGGGCCTGGAATAGCTCAGTGACTGGGGATTCAGGATGACTGAACGGAAGCTCCGTCATTAGAACCCAACCCAGGCTCCTCTATTGGTTCTACCTATGCTTGCGTTGTGTATGACAGCGGTGTATCAGAAGGGTGTTGCGGACCGCTATTTATTTGACCATTATATGTTTATTTATTATTCGGCAGGTCACCCAAAAAGTGGCCATATTTTGGGTTCATAAGGTGGTACAACTTGGTGCGGTGACGCGCAGGCGAATAAACAAAACTTTTGTGTTAAAATCTCTCAATTCATTTCAGACCAGACTTGAATGTACAATTTGTGCAGCTGTTTTCTTGCAGTTATTTGCTCACTCTTTGAGTCTCCTTTCGTCTGGATTTGTGATATCGGCGGATCTGTCGTGCTTGGTGTGGTGACAAACGAATTGAATGGGTGGTTCATGTACAGTTTTGTGCCTGAATGGGTATTTGAGCCTCATATAGTCACCCTCTGGAAGCCGCAAATTACCGTGGCTGGAATGCATAAAAGACCATTGTGGAGCTCTACATCGCTTCGCAAGTTGCAACTTGATGTTACCGGGAGATGCAGTTGAATAGCGTCTTGATCTGTTACTTTGCCAAGGACTATACCCCGACATATTGAATATCGCCTCAACCGAAGCATGAAACGAACACTGTACAGCATATTTAAGTGGGCGAGACGTTCGTGAAAATTTCTGCTGAAGCTTCGGCCAGCACCAGCTTAATCCGTCGCAGCAGAAATGAATATATGAAGCACATTTGCGGACTTGGGGTTCAGATGACCTGCGTGAAATAGTTGACTTCGAAGTAATCCTTATTTGAGATTATGAGATGATAACACTAATACTGCCAGATACTGCTGGCAGGACATCATGCGAATTAGTTTAGCTTTTGATAGATTTCAACCGGCTTCGATTTCGCCCATAGGTGGTGGGTTGGTGATGTGATCATCATTATAAAACTTACTTGGAGTCTTCTGTAATGATCTCTTTAGGCAGAACGACAGACTCTCATTCATATGTTATGGGCTTTTTGGAAACGGAAAGCTAACATCATGAAATTTGCCTCTTAGTCAGCAGTGCACAAATTCTCAGGTTCGTTGACTAACATTGCAGGCCTCTTAAGTTCGATCTGGAAACATTCACGTCTACAAGGACCACAAGCACCGAAAGAATATACTTTACTTCGCTCATGAATAAACGTTTTCGTTATTTGTATTTCCAATAGTTAATGTTTGTACTGACGTATCTAAGTGATATTATAGGATTTATTTACATGATGTACTTATATAATCTAATGGTATATTCAACTATTCACAATCTAATATGAAATGGCCAAAAACGGGTTTCATTAATTTATAATAACAATAGATGGTGGGTAAACAAAGAGATAGGAGGCATGACCATTGTCAGCTCAGCCATAATTTTTCTAAAATGAGCTCCCTTAAGTCTAGTAATGTGCAGTCTGATCACCTAGGTGACAGTTAGATCAATTCCTCGTCTTTACCGACCAGCCCAAAGAGTCAATAGCTGAGCCCTGCCCGGTGGCCAGCATTTCGTCCCTTTCCGCTTTTAGGATGAACATACCAAAGAAAGTGAAATTGTGAAATCCACCAATGGTTGTCCGCTGAAAATTTTCGTCCATTTCCTTCTCTTTCTGCGTTTCATCGCTACCGGGATACACGTGTGACCGTATTACTTTTTCAGTTCCCACCATGGTACAGTTTCTCTGCGAGTTCACTCACCAATGCAATCCGTCGCGTGTAATTGTGACAAAATTGGCAATCGACAAGTCCTGATCAGAAGGGCGACAACATTCAGTCTGTCAAAAGTTCCTGCCAGAGTGCCACACTATGACCCGATGAAGCCAAGTTACGCCAAACAATCTGCCGGAATAAGCAGAACTTCACTGGGTGGATATGCTAGCCACCCATTCCGAATTTAGGGCCAACAAATATTTGCTGTTTGGACAGGACTGATCAATGGTAAAAGAAAACGTGAAAATGCGCATGTGGTCTCATCAACTGTACACAACGCAGACAACCAGACGTGCACCTGGCTAAGGAGGGTAGCTCACACAATATTGATAGTCTCATTGTTAGCACCGATTGAAACATGTTTTCTCATCTGGGTGATTGTATTCACTCCACTCCTTTTGAAGGTTGCTCGAGGTGACCGAGACAGCAAGTTGTAAGGCTTAGTCAGAAAACGTTGTGTTCTTTCTCAACTACTAAATTAATCAATACCATGCACACCGCACTCAAACTTTGTGAGTATTCTCGCTGAATTTAGTTGGGATATTCTCAACTTATTGACTTTACCTGATTCACTTGCCGGAACGAAACGCTAATTAATTCATCACACGAAAAAATGAAAAGTCAGACCGGACTCGGAACCAAAGTACACTCGTGTTTTGTATGCTGAATTCATGCGAACAGAAAACTGATTGTCCCCACGAAACGAAATGTTGGTATGTAGCAAAGTAATTATTTTCTGTGTGCCTCGTTAACTCATGCGTTTACTTTACGTGACCATCCATTCCGAGACCTGAGTATGGAGGCCGAAGTTTCACTAAACAAATGGACACGAAAACACATTATTGAGGTTCAGTGCGAGACTCAAGTAAATATCAGGCAAAATACCAAACATAGATTAAAGCACCCCGAGGAGGATTCGTCTGACTTTAACGAAAAGCCAAAACATGCAGAGAAGGAAGTTAATTACATCATTTCCTTTTTATAAGAATTGCTTTTAAGAAAGAAATAATTTTGGCATTCATTTCACCGTGAAATCAACAGTTGCCTTCGACAGAAACAACCCTCAGAAAAATGCTTCCTGTCACTGGGCGTTTTGCAGTCTGAATGGTCCGTGTCGGCAAAATCTTCCACAAACAATCCACACTCTGCAACAATAAAGGCAAAATGAACAGAGTTCCACTCATTTGAATCACTTGAGATCAACAAGGTCTCCTCACTTTGTGGCTGGTCGGAGTTTACATGGCTACGTCAGTCTCTGTAATGACGGTGGAATGACCTTGGCGATGATTCTCGAATTACATTCCTTCCTCTGGTGTAAAGAGTGGGGGATGTGCGCCTCAGAGGAGCCAGATAGATAAACCGGAATTCTTAAATGCGTGTATCCACAGTAATAGTCAGTAGTTAGGAAAAAAGAGAAATGATAGAGATGAGTTTGTACAAGCAGTTAAACCTCTCAGGAACTAAATTTTGGAATCGATTTATCGAATGAAAACAGTTATACTTGACGGGGATCGTACAATCTTCTGCCGGGTTCGTTTTGAACGACAGCTACCTCAGTATATGGAACGGTTCGAGTGTTCCCAAACTGTTTCCTATAAATAAAACTTACTGGTGTGTGAACTGAGGTGAATGTGCGTTCGCATAGCGATATAATCAGCAAGATATAGTGCATCTATTTGACCATTTTACTCAGGCTCTTCTGTGACCTCTTCTCACCAGATGACGTTTGCATTTAGACTTGGATCCTAAGGCGCACCACCATTTCCTGAAACCTAGAAAAGTTTGCCCTGAACTGGGCAGTTTACTTGTACTCATTGTGCTCATTGTCCAAACCAACGTCCACCTTTATCTGTACTGTACCTAACTGGGGCGAACTGATGATTTTCCTATGTTACTGAACTCCTCCCACTAGCCCCAAGCTGAATAACCTACCAGTACCAACCAGGCACTGGTCAACCTCAAATTACTCGGTAAATGAGTGCAAAGGACTAGTTACTCTTACAAGCAAAAGTTCGATTGGTAACGGCCCCATATACTGTGTTGTTTTGACGGGTTACTTAGATTCGGATCGGAGAACGAGATGTGGATCCACATAGGACATGGTTTTAGGACTGCATCACACGATCCTAATAAGAATGCAATCACAGGCGGTTGCAAACATTTCGTCGAAGAAGGATGGAAGAGCAGTCCCAGAAAAGTTGAGCGACGAATGTGGCTCATGCGTCCTCCAAAGCTACCAACTTTGTTGGACTTCTGGGACAACGAGAACGCCTTAAGTGGTCACTGAGGGATGTGGCTTGCGAAACAAACCGTTGGTCGGTACTGCATTATCTAGCTGCATTTTCATCTGTGAGAAATGTTGCCACTCCTTACTCACTACAAGCGAAAGCAGACTCAATAGCTGCTCCATAGAAGTTGATAAGAGAGAGGCAAATTCAACTAATCGACCGCTCGGAGCCTAATGGAGAGGTGACGCAGATTTGAAATTTGCACTTCACTCAAGGTCGTCGGCCACACAAATTGAATTGCCATGAAGAAATATTTATGAATCTATTTTGGCCTGTACTGTGCGCTGAATATACAGTGTGATTGTTATAGCCTTACTGAATGGATGCTTTTTCACGGATTCACGGATTGATACAAGGGATCGAGGTTTTTTCCCAAGGTTCCCGGGT